ACCCAAAGATCCCAACTTTCTTCCACCCTCTTCACCAACTAACCCAGCTGAACCTATTTCAAGACTTTTATCAAACATCTCAGATGCAACTTTTTCTGAGCTAAAACCAACGGAGTTTTCTCCCAAATCATTAGCCATACTCTTACTATATGGCTCTGGGTTCTCCTCAATCCAATCCTCGATGTAATCAAAATCAAGAAAAGAGTCTATACATGAGAAAGAAAGATCTTCAAGGCCTAAGACTGAGAAAGAAAGATCGTTTGAGCATTCTTTTTCTTCTTTTTTAGGGTTGGGACTTTGCAGAGAACCTACCATGTTCAAGAAATAAATTTAGGGCCTTGAGAGTCAGCATTAGGGATATTGAAAGCAGGAGTTTAAGTATATATATGCGTCTCTGGTGGCTCAGATTTTGCTGTTTGAAATTTGGGGTTTGCTTGGAGAAAAGGTCGGATTCTATTTGCTTAAACCCTAATTGGCAAGGGTTTTAGAATGTGGGAATCTACTATCTAGGAGAATATTGTGGTAGAGAAAATGACGTGTAAACAAACAGAAAATGGGCTAGGCCCGATTTTAGAGCCTCGAACAATTGTAATTTGGGGCTAGCCCTGTGTGTCCGAAGGGCCTCGAAGATCATTTCGGAGAAGGTTAGCTCATTCTGGGCTATTGAAGTCTGGGCACTTTGGGTGAGACGTGTGGTGGTAGAAACTGAAACGGCAAATGGGACTTTATAGTTTATACCTCCTTTTTTTAAATCTTTTTTGTCGAATAAATGAAACTTTATCTAGTCATAAATAAGGATTAATCTTTCCTATATTATCAGTATATACATTGACAATATTGAATGTGTGCCACATTATTTGAATTTAAATTAAGTTTCAGTTCAGAATTTATATATGTGGCATATATCTAAATCTGCTAATATATACACCATCAGTGTATACAAGATTTACCCCCATAAATAATGTGTCCATAGAATACAGTTGACACAAAATTATGAAATTGAAAGGTTGGGGTTAGGAATATTTGGCATTGCATGATAAATAACTCTTTGGATGGAAGAAAATTATGTGGTAATGTTCTTTAAAAACTTTTTCACGATTCATCCTATATAATAAAGAAATAACTACGTGGCCTACCAAAATTAAATAAAAAAGAAATAATTATGTGACAGATTTGAATTATGACCTCCCAAGTCCCAATCCATCCATCAAAGGAGGGAAAAAAAAAAAAGTGTCCCTCTGCTCAATAGTGAGAAATGGAATTCAACAATATGGTCCTTGGAGATAATGCCATGGCAAATTCCAATGTGAAATGACAAATTACACTCTCCAATGGAATGCATAATTCTCATATTAGAAGACACTTACTTATTGTGGTATTAACATTTTTTTTTTGGTAAAAAATTGTGGTATTAACATAAGTGCTGTGGCAAAACCATTTGCCTAATATAATTGATGGCTAGTTTGACAAACCTAATGGGACAACTTTATCTTTCATAAGGGGAAAAAAAAAACTTTATCTTTGATGGGCTCCAGTACCAGTTGGGCATTGAGGGATTTCAATTTGCTTATAAAGATCAAGAAACATGTTACCATGGTCGGTTCTCTCTCCCATGTTATATGTTTATGCAAACCCTCTTTCAACTTCACTTAAACCTTACACATTTGATTGTAAAGTCTCAATCCTAATCATTCCTGCCACTAGAAAGACTGGTTATGTTTAACTTTGGTAGACATATTAATTAGTTTAGTACCTATAACCAGAGTGTCAAAGCACTGATACCGTATGGGCAGACCTGTCTGTCCCATTAAGGTATCTTCACCCTTCTCTTTATTAACTTTGCCCATGCATCGTTCACAGCATTTTCGTTTATGGGCGAAAGGGAAGACTTTAAAGTCTGAAACGGTCTTGAATTCGGCGCTTCATTACAAGGAAGATGAAGAGGGAAGAGAGAGGCAAAGACAAGTCAAAGCACTTTAATTTGCTTCAAGAAAAGGTCCCTTGATTGAGTTGGTCCAAATGATAGAGTTGATATCATGCATTTTTACTAATTCGGGTTCGAACCTCTCCTAAGATATTCATCCGTCGTACAGGGTTTGTCTAGTGCGTCTTATCTCTCTGTGTGATTGACGGGCTATTATACGAAATAAGATTTACCTAATGCACACTGTCAGATAACAGGTATGGTTCTTTATCAACAGAGAAAAGTCAACTACACTTTGACACCCTACTTGAAATATGGTATAAATTCCCAGCGTCAATGAATGCGTAAAAAAATTTTTGTTGGCTGTTTTTTTCTTCGATAATAAAATGTTACTTATCTTTTATGTATTGCCAATTGGCCATATTACTCAAGGGACTCAAGTAGGTCTGCCACAATTTCCAAGAAAGGTAGGTCGATCACTACTCTCTTAAACTGACAAGGTCCAAAATCATGCAACAGCAGCATAATATTAGCGGTAGGTTATCCACACAAGTCGTGGTATGAGAAGGATTTCTCATGCATATAGCACCGGAGACTAGACATTTTTTTCAAGAACTTGGCACCTAAAACATGCTATACCTAAGATATATGCTACATGGGAATTTCCCATTGTTGAAACCCTAACAGAAAATGGGAAAAAATTAGTAAAGAAACTAATGCACTTTAGCCCTAAGGTTGCTTAAGCTTGAATTGGAAAATGTCCAGACTGAACTATATATATATATATATATATATATATATATATATATATAGAGAGAGAGAGAGAGAGAGAGGGAGAGAGGTGAGGAGTTCAATAAAACATTTATACCTCTTTACTGTAGAGAAGGATATTTCTATAGAAAATTGTTACATTCTGAAGTCAAAAGCTTTCATACAAGAATTGGCAATGGCAGAAGCATGGCAGCCCATAACTCTACTCTACGTGCCAGGGCAAACAGTTTGAGCAATAAATTTTTGTTACCAAGGAGAACAGTGAACGGTGAACAACCAACCAACCAACACAAAATTTATGATGAAAGCTGTAATCCTCGGGGCCCTGGCCATCCCATGATGTTGGCACCATCATGCTTTAATATGGCGGCAGCACTTGCAAGAAATTCTCAACATGGAAGATGAACTGTTTGATGTTACTTAAATTGATTGAATTCAATGTGCAGCAAAAAAATACAGCTGCAATTTCTCATTCGAAAGGGTATAGCATGTGATCTATCTGACCCTAACCTAATTCTCCTCTGTTGCAACATAGCCTAACAGGTCCACTAAATCGGCCCCGCCAAGAGGGCTGGGGATTAGGAGACTTGAGAGAAACAGCTAACAATAATTTTCTACAATCAAATGTCTCCTTTGGATTGCTAATTTCCAAAATTTTTGTAGAAAAATGTACAATATCGATTTAATATACGTGAATTTTTTTTTTTTTTTGGTTGGTTTCAAGGGAAGCAATTTTGGCCAACAAGATAGAGTGTATTACTAACGGTATAACATACGAATCATTATGTTCGTAAAGATTCTAACTCAATTTACACCAGCAAAATTGAAAGTGTACAAAAGCAACAATTACGGACAAAACTAGTTGCTTTCATACGGCGATGGAGCATGTTGAATTGAGTTTTTGTCTAGTTCGGATCGTTTGATATAATTTTTATAAATGTGGATAAAATAAAATTTAGAAAGATACTCGAATTTTTGTCAAAATTTATAAGAATTACATCATTGGAATAGATATGAATAAAATTCAGCTAGACTTGCCCTGTATCCAATACATACAAAAATTTATGGCGTAGGCACTTAAGAATATCATGTCGGCCAAGTCGTTACTTTCATATTTGTGATGTCTGTGTATTGAATGGTATCATCAGAGCATTGAGGCAATCTATTTGAAGCGTCATTCTGGGTAAACGGACCACCAAGTTGCCCCAAGATTGTGCTTTAGCCAGAAAGTGATGTGAGAAACCGAATGTACAATCTAGCCTATGGAGGCCAGCCTTGCTTTGATTGTTGTGAGAAATGTATGCCCTGTCCATTGTTGTGTGGGATCACTCGTTTGGAGAGGGAAACACAAGTTGGTTTTACTTGAGTAGAACAGATTGCTTCCTCGTAAAAATCAAATTTTGTTGTCGCTTTGAAGATTATGTTGGTACACGATCTATATCAAAGAACACAAACATAATAAATAAAAATAATTTGTGGGATTACTTACTCGTAAAAAGTTGAATTTTGCTATCACTTTGAAGATTGTGTTGATACATGATCCGTATCAAAGAGCATAAATATAATATATAAAAAAATACGTAGTGGTCGACATTTTTTGACCCATGATGACGATCGAGATCGAACCCATTTAAATTTTTTTATTAAATAAATTCGATTTAGAGAGTTAATGATTCTGAGCTAGATGTGGAGGTGTGTAATTAAGATGTAACTGTTTTTTCCCATGGGGCCATATTTGCCCATATCTTTGATTGATGCCCACTTCCTGAGCTCAGACTTCTCATGTCATTATTGTTTTTTTCCTAATATGCTGTAGATTGACGTGAAATAAGAACGACTAGTGCAGTAACACACTATATTGGCAAAATTTTTGGTAGATCATCTACCATACGAGAGCAATGTACCATTCATTTTAAATTTTCTACTGTGCATTTATATTGCCTGGATTCATCTTTCAATCCTGCATCAGTCTTTCACCCTAAGGTTAGATTTGTGATTAGCCTTTCATCCCTGATAATGAAAGATTTGTACATCAAGATTGCTCCGGACCTCCAAATGAGATTTTTTCACTTCATTCTGTATTTTTATTCATTTTTTTGATTCCCTCCCCCTCTAAATAATCTCACAGAAAAGGAAAAGGCTTGGTGGCTCTTTTTTTTTTTTTTGGTTTAAAAAACTCAAATAAACATAAATAAGCCAAGATTTTCCCTGTAGATTACTGATAACATAGTTGAATCAATTAAGTTTGTCTACAAGTTATCATGGATCACAATTCCAGATATGTATTATTCTGGACATAAATTTGTTCAGAAAGTCTTATGTAAGATTGATATTTTCAGCTGCAGAATGAGAAGAAGGAAGGTGAAGGCCTTCTTTCACACCACTCACGGGCAAGTGGCAACAGATGAAAATATAAATATAGAATCAACATTAAAAATCTCTGATAAGGTCAGAAACAGATTATTTCCTATTCTGTTTTCTAGAAACTAAAAATAAGTTAGTACATCTAAACCAATATCTATAATCATGATGAACAATCCATGAAAAAGAACCAGTCAAATTCAGTACAAAACACTCATATTAATTAGTGGAAGTATCTCAAACTGCAGCAACGATTCAACTGCTCTGTTTTCAGTGGTAAGACCTGAGAATTGCTCCACAAAATGTACATATTATTGCCCTCCAAGTCTTCCAGTAAAAGGGTACATGGCAGAATCTTGTAGCAGTCTTCATATCAGCCACACTGGCTCCTCCCCCGCATCTTGAGCAAATTCCGGCCGCCGGTTTGCTCCTCCTCACCTTCCTTGTCTGATCAACTAGAAAACAGAAGCAAACCATGATTTTTCTTGATTTTCTTGGCTGAAGAGTGATGGAGTTATTGAGCGGTTGAGAGAGGTTATTTGTTGTTTGCTAAAAGGTTTTGTTTTGTGAAGGCTTTTGAGCAGGTGTGAGTTGTGGGGTTGGAGTTTTGGGCTCTATTTATAGGCAAAAGAGTAGAGGAGTTAGATGTTGGACAAAGTTCTGTTGGATCTCTCTTGATTGACTTTGCATTTTGTATATTGCTATATTTTGCGTTAGCTATTAGTACTATTTATTTGGCAACAACCACCACCCAGCCATTAAGGCTTGGTGGGGTGGGAGGCAAGGAATCAAACCACATTTAAAGTGGCTTTCAAAAAAATACAGGCCGATGCATTACGCACCCGTCTAGTCCGGTGGTGATTCAGTTCTTTCCGGATTATCTCTGAACCTCCTTAAGTCCGCCCCCTCCTCCTAGTGTAGGATAGATTAGGTTATACAACAATTATCGTCTCCGAAAAAAAATTACTATTTATTTGGCACATGAGTTGGTGGACATTTTTGATTTGGTTGCATCCAGAAGAATTCATAAAATCTATTTAAAAAAATTTGAAGGATAGGGTGTAATCAAGTTGACTTTGGTTGCATCCAAAAGAATTCATAAAATCTACATAAAAAAATTTGAAGGATAGGGTGTAATCAAGTTGACTGCTAGGTTAACTAATTGAGGAGAGGATCGGGTCATAGGTTGAGTAGTAAGATGAAATGGATTGTAAATAGGGGGTTTTAGATTCAAAACCTTCCATTAAAAGAAAAAAGGTTGAGTCTACTTGAGAGAGGGGGATTGGGTTGGATGGTAAGATGGAAGGAATTATAAGTAAGAGATTTTGAATTCAAATCCCCTCACTTAAAATTTTTTTTTTTGAGTCTACTTGAATTAAAATGTTTGAGATCAAATTTGTCGAATCCTTAAAGGTCAAGTTTAACTTGATATTCTTTTACCTTACTCAAGTTCAACCGAACCAAATCCAACTCAATTGAGTTTCAGTGCCGTAGATTAGTATATTTATATCATTTTTATACAATTGATATGATAGACATTTCACACCAATAAATTTAAAAGATACAAAAATATTTATATAAGTTTGAAATTCAGCTGAGCTCAACAAGCGCTTAAGCCTTTCATATTAAGCTCAAACTCTAATTCATCAAGTTATTTGAACTGCTCAAATTCGAACTCAAACTCGAGTTTTGACAGAAAAAATTAGCAAGTAGTTCAATTGAGTTCAGCTCATTTGCACCCGAAGATAGAATACATTAATTTCTTAAGAACTAATTATGAGTTGAGTGGTAACGAACAACTTTAATGTGGTTCACTAAAAAACTGAAGATAGGAAACAGGTATCCTACTGTTTAGCTCTGTCACTAATTTTGGAAAGCAAATATGGGGAAACATTGAAAAGGAAATCACATGGGTTGCATAAAAACTGGGAAACTTTGAGATCTAAGAGAGCACAAAAAGGGGAACAATAAAAAAAGTAAAGAATTGTGGACATGATATTAAAAATCATTCATTCTTAATTTGAATTGTTTTCAATATCTTCTGCTCGGAAAGTGACTGTACAGATGAATGTTTGGGCGTTCAACTTTGTGATGTTAATAAATTGCCTTGGATTGTGTTTGCATCTTGTTTGTTGACTCTAAAATTGATTAAACAATTTAATTTCTTTTCTCTTGCAATCGATCACATTCTTGCCAGAAACTTTTCAATAGCAAGTCAGTCAAAACTCGAATCAAATTCGTTCAATATCGAGTTTAAGTTAAGTTCGAATCGACTAAGTCAAATTCGAATTCAAAAAAATTTAATTCATTAGTTCAAAAGTTGCTCGATTATATATATATATATACACTATTTTTTATTTTAATAGTGAAATTCTTTCTGGTGAGACTTCCAATTAGAGGTCTAGTATTAAGAACCAAAAGCAGCGAAATAGCAAAAGATTTACAGGTACAATATCTCACTGTCCAAATGACAAGAAAATGCAAAGAAGTGCACATTAAGCCCTGTTTGATAGTCCAGTTTAACACTTAAATTTAATGGATTCAAATCTTAATATATACAAAACGTTTGATAATAAAAAATTAAATATTTGAATTAATTAAGTGGTACTGAATTCTCTAGACAAAACTTACTATTAAGTAATAAACTATTCACTTATCACTAATGTGATATGTGCTAAAATATATTATATTTAATATTTAATAATTTAATAAATTTAAATTTTAGATTTCAAATTTCAAATTTTAATTTTTAAACTTCAGTTTTATCAAACGCAGCCTAATTTATCCATATCTGAAAGGCTCCAAAATTTCTTCAAAGTGTCTTTAAACTTAAGTTTAGTCCAGATTTGTTTCAGGTAGAAACAAAATCATTATGGCCTTGGATTATTTCTTATGACTCAGCCGTACGCGTGGAGCTGTTTAGACAGTTACATGTTGCATACAACCATCTTGAAGTGATGGCCATGAAATCTCTGCCTTACACGTGGGCCTCAAATAGTCTGCTTTTTTTCCATAGACAGAAAGAAACACGCACCAGTTAGATAGTCTGTTGTATTATGTTTATTTTTTTTTTCAAACTAGTCTGCTGTATTATGTAGGGAGGCCAAAATTGTTGAACTGGAATCCGGGTGGCACCATTACATCCTACTGCTGTTCTTCAATGGCGTCTTCAGAGAGTTGTTAAAATGCCATAAATTTCATACCCTTTTTGGCAATTACTTTTGAAGAACATAAGGGCTCATGCTTAGCCATTACTCTGTCTTCACTTCATATATACCAGGAAGAATTAAATGAGTTGATGAATTGTCACTTTCCAGAGTCTAAAAAATTCAGTGTTGTTTGATTCAGATCGGATCGGTTTTAGATTGGACCGGTCCGATCGTAAACCAATCCGATTGTAAATCGACCTTTTTTTTTTTCAAATTGATTTGTAGTACAAAATTATTTTGATAAAAAATTGTAAAAAAAAAAAAGGCTAAACCAATGATTCCGTTTGGCTGGTTGATCCGGTTCTCAAGCTACTCTTTTTTATTTTTCCCAAACATAATTTGAATTAGCTAAATTTTAATACTTTCATTTATTAATAGAAAGAAGAAAACACCATCTATTTAGTATAAATACCAAAATCACTCGTTTTTTAAATGATCTCTAAATCAAGATGTTTTCATCTCTATCATCTTATCAATTTAGCATCAGTGATTCCAACTAGCATTAATTTGTTTTAATTTAATTTTTCAAGTAGTTTTGGAGAATGAACATATTTTAGTCATGAATTTACATTTTATATATAATTATTTGATTGGAAGTTTAATATTTTTGGAACATTTTATATGATTGCCCGAATATAACCAAGAACTCAATTTCAATATTTTTGAAACTTATAAAAATATAAAAACAATTATAACATCGTGCTGATATAAAGCGAATTTTTTAGAACGATTTGACCAATCTGACCAGTTTACCCCTGATTTAACCGAGTCGCTATCCGGTCAGAACAATATTAAAAAAATTGGAGTTTCGGAACCAAATATTGAAAAAGATAGGCACCTGACAATGAACGGATGAAATGAAAATTGTGATGGCTAACAATTTCTTTGTCGCCAATCACACCATGCATTAATGTTTTGTGGATCAGAGGTGATCACTCGATATTTTGTGGCAGTAATGGCGTGCATACCTGTCAATGCAATTTGTAATGAGCATGATTATGTGTTACATTTCTTGTTCAATGCAGAAACAGAAGTGGATTTCAATCAATTTCTTCCTCCTTTCTTCTTCATTCTTTTTCCTTTTCCTTTTGTTAGATAACAACGATGACCTCATTGATCTTAAAGAGATCTGGACATTTGGCAGCTATTACATGCAAATAAAATCACAAGAAATGTTCAAATAAATTAAAGCCTACATGGTTAAACTTTTTGGTCATGGACAAACTGCTCTTCGAGTCTAAATGCGGAGACAGCTTAAACGAAGTGGCCATGGACAATAATAGAAGCTTCTTTTTTTTTTTTTCTTCTTTTTCTAATCTTGGAGTTATGCAAAAATTGTCACAACTTTCACACTGAAACACTTTAAATTCTACAATCATTAATCGTTTATCATAACTGTTACTTTCCTGCAATAAATGAATACATGATGATGCTAAGTGAGTCTTTTCATCAAAACAGTACTAGTACTTTGACACCTGCTCTGCACTCCCAGTTAAGCCTTCTATACAGATATATCCAGTATCCACTTCTCGTTTGGCAAATTTAGCAGATTTTCAAGCCTTAGCAATCCGAGCACAATAGGAAAAATCAAAATGTACCCAGTTTGTCCTTTTACTCCTTTGTAATAGCTTCAGTATTTCATTTTCTTTATTGTTGGCCTTCTTCTTCATTTCATATCCTTTTGAAGAATAAAGTGTTTAGGTAATTCACCTGTCACGAATGGAAAAAACAAGGTTAGGTCGCTCGATATAATTATCAACCAAAAAAAAAATCATATCCATAAAGAATTTGTATGACAAGGTGGGATTCTCTATATTTGTTCATCTAACCTTTTTTTTTTTTGGGTAATTTCATAGACTAAAACTTAATCCACTTTGTGCGAACAATTCTATCAGTCTTATCAATATGTAATTTCACTGAGGGAAGGGCTAAATTCATATCCCTCCATCCTAAATCCATATCATTTGATATGGTGATGATTTATATTGTTAGCATTAAAACTTTACAAGATGTGAATTTAGCCTCTCCTCTTCGGTAATATCTATTTGTTTTTGTTACAAATTTAAGTTAGCAAAATGGGCGGGATGGGATTGGGTATGAGATGGAATTGAACAATATGAGTTTAAGTCCAACCCTACTTATAAGTATTTTGGGATTAATTTGGATGAGATTGTCATGAAGTCAAACTGAAGGCGTGAAGACAGAGTAAGGGAAGGCGCGAAATAGGTAGAAGGAGCAAAGGAAAGCGTGGTTTCAAGACCACGCCTTTAGATGGAAGATGATTCTGCAACAGACGCACATGAAGAAATAACAAACTTTCAAATCAGCTGCAACGGTCTCTCAGCCACTTGGTCACGCCAATTGGAAGCTACGAAGTTAGTTATCAGCTGATTATCTATAAATAGCATAGATGGAATGTATTAGGCAAGAAAATCTTTCGTGTAATAGCAACAGAGATTGGGCTGAGCCTTTTCTGTTCCTTTTCCCCAATTCCTGCAATCTTGTTCATCTTCTTAACTTTTCCCGCCCTTTCTGTATCTCTTAATCCTTACACCAATTGCAGCTATCTAAGTTAATTCCACATCTTAGCTTTTCAATTGATTGATTATTATCCAGTCGAATTGTTCATTTCTGTTATTGGATTCAAGGTTTCCACATAGCTCAGTCTGGTACCATTACAGTGGTATCAGAGCTAGCTACGAGCCATTAGGGATGACTAAGACACAGGAGGAGATGATGAGGAAGGACCTGACTGAGCTAGGGAGTGTCATGAGGACGTTTGCCAATAGGAACGATGGAATGGAGCAAGCCATGAGAGCCATGGAGCACAGGCAAGAGAGTACTGAAAAAACTATAAAAAACTTGGATCAGAAATATGAGAGTATGATGAATATGATGGCGCAGATGATGGCCAAGCTATCTGACAAGGAAAAGGGAGAAGAAGGAAGCAGTTCAGGAGGATATCAGAGATTGGATCTGGTCAGCAAAAAACCTGAGAAAATAGAAGGAAGAGGAGGAAACAGGTTGCCAAAGCTTGACTTCCCTGTGTTTGATGGAGAGAATCCTAGGGAATGGGTCAGGAGAGCCAACAAGTACTTCCAGATCCAGGGAGTGGAAGAGGAGCTGAAATCTGATCTGGCTCAACTGCATCTCAAAGGGAAGGCAGACATCTGGTTCCTTGGAATGTACCATGGAAGAGCTGAAGTTTCTTGGGAGGAGCTATCCAGGGCCATTTGCGAGAGGTTTGGAGGAGGAACACCAGAAGAGACCATAGAAGAATTCAACAAGCTGGCTCAGACTGGTAGTGTGATTGACTACCTGGAAAAATTTGAACTACTCAAATCCCTGGTAATGCCTCTACTACCCAACCAACCTGACTCTTATTATAAATCCTATTTTCTGAGTGGCTTGAAGGGGGAAATTGTAAACATGGTGAGGATGGCTAGACCCCGCGCTTTGGCAGATACTATAGAAGCTGCTAAGCTGCAAGAGAAGAATTTAGAAGTTATAAGGAAGGCACAGAGGGCACTACCCCACGGGGCCCCATACCATTCCAACTCCCTAGGAGGCAACAGGCCAAACCCTGTCCCACAAATGAGGAACAAATGGCACCATGAAGGCTCTAGGGTACTCAGGGACAATGACCACAGGGGGCCCAAGGCAGGGGGAAACACAACAGACAATTTCAAGAAAATCTCTCCCACAGAATTCAACTACAGGAGGGAGAAGGGATTATGCTACAAGTGTGCAGAACCTTACACTCTAGGCCACATCTGCAAGCAAGCTAATTGAAGATGAACCAACTGAGCTAATTGAAGTAGCTGAAGGGGAAGTGGATGAAGGAGAAGAGTTTTGTGACTGTATTGAGGGAGGAATCAGTAATGAAAGGATAGAGGTTTCAATCCACACATTGTCTGGAGGAAATGGACACAGCACCTTTAAGCTAAAGGGGGTACTGGCAGGAAGGGAACTCTTAATTCTGGTTGACAGTGGCAGCACCCATTGTTTTTGGATGAAAGGGTGGCTTCCCACCTACAACTGCAGGTCCCCTGGTAGTTAGAGTGGCTAATGGGGAAAGGTTGGAGTCCAGACAGCTCAGCAGACCACTAAACTGGAAGGTACAGGGACATGAGTTTCAGCACCACTTCAACACTTTGCAACTAGGGAGTTGTGATATGGTGCTGGGGTGGACTGGCTGGCCAGATATAGCCCCATCGAATTTAACTTCAACCAGTTGAGCATGAAGTTCACAAGAGGGAAGGAGGAAGTGGAGCTGAAGGGTGAATCTAATAAGCTTAAGCTGACAGCCATTAAAGGAAGCAAGTTGATGAAGTGGAGGAGGAAGCAAGAGTATGGAGTAACTGCACTTCTCACCATACTGGAGGAAGGACAGGAAGAGGTGCCAACAGGAGTGAAACAGATGCTAAACCAGTACCAGGATATATTTGCTGAACCACAGGGCCTACCTCCTCCTAGGAGCCATGACCATGGGATACCACTCAAAGAAGTGCCAGACCATTCCAAATCAGACCCCACAGATGTCTTTATGTGCAGAAGTCAGAAATAGAAAGGCTGGTCAGGGAAATGCTACAAATGGGAATTATACAGCCTAGCAACAGCTCCTTTGCCTCTCCAGTCCTGTTAGTCAAAAAGAAGGATGGGAGCTGGAGTTTTGTATGGACTACAGGCAACTCAATGAGCTCACAGTGAAGGATAAATTCCCAATGCCTCTGATTGATGAGCTGATTGAGGAATTACATGGATCCAGGTACTTCACTAAAATTGATCTAAGGGCAGGTTACCATCAGATCAGGGTCAAGCTGGAGGACAGACATAAGACTGCATTCAGGACTCATCAGGGACTATACGAATTCAAGGTGATGCCATTTGGCCTAACTAATGCCCCTGCCTACTTTTCAGAGCTTAATGAACCAGGTTTTCAAGGAGCAACTGAGGAAATTTGTGATAGTGTTCTTTGATGACATCTTGGTGTACAGCCCCACACTGGAAACTCATCTCCAACACGTGACAGTAGTTTTGGACCTGTTAAGACAGCACCAACTGTTTGCAAAGCAGAGCAAATACTGCTTTCCACAGACTCAAATGGAGTACTTGGGCCATATAATCACTGCTGAAGGAGTGCAGGCAGACCCTAAGAAAATTGAAGGGATGATGAACTGGCCACGGCCTGGAAATGTGAAACAACTAAATGGATTTCTAGGATTGACAGGCTACTACAGGAAATTTGTAAGGGGTTATGGTTCCATTGCCAAACCTCTAACAACACTGCTGAAAAAGGGGGATTCCAATGGAATGAGGAGGCTGAGGAGGCATTCCAGAGGCTTAAGATGGCAATGTGCAGCACACCTGTGCTAGCCTTGCCAGATTTCAATAAGACATTCATCATAGAAACAGATGCATGCTATGGAGGAATTGGAGTAGTGCTCATGCAAGACAGGAGGCCTATTGCTTATTTGAGTCAGAGCTTAGGAGCAAAGAACTTAGGACTATCCATTTATGAGAAAGAGCTTTTGGCACTGGTTATTGCAGTTACCAAGTGGAAACATTACTTGGAAGGACGTCACTTCACCATCAGGACAGATCACCAGAGCCTCAAATATTTGCTTGATCAAAGGGTCACTACTCCACTCCAACAGAAGTGGCTTACTAAGCTATTGGGATTACACTATGACATTCAATACAAAAAGGGCAGGGAGAATGTTGTTGCAGATGCACTATCCAGAAGAAGCAGCAAGGAGGAAGGGAGATTGCAGAAACGACATGTGTGTCATTCCTGAGTGGGTCAAAGAGGTGGAGGAAAGCTATCAAGGAGATGCAGAAGTTCAGGAGATGATCAGGAGTCTGATCCTCACACCAGGGTCTCTACAGGACTACTCCTGTCAAAATGGGATACTCAAATACAAGGGAAGGGTGGTAGTAGGAAATGGAGGTCAAATCAGGAGGAAAATCATCACTGCCCTCCATGATTCACAGCTAGGAGGCCACTCTGGTGTACAAGCTAGCTATCTGAGAGCCAAGCAGTTCTTCCACTGGCCAGGGATGTATAAGGAGGTCAAGGATACAATGTTGCAGTGTAACACCTGTAGGAGATGCAAGGACGAACATGTTGCCTATCCTGATCTCCTGCAACCACTACCCATACCTCAGTACTCCTGGAGTCATGTCACCATGGATTTTATTGAGGGGTTGCCTACTTCAGAAAGGAAAGATACAATCCTGGTCACAGTGGATAGGTTCACTAAGTATGCTCACTTCACCAATCTAACTTATCCTTTTGATGCCCCAACAGTGGCCAGAGTCTTCCTGGATCAGGTCTGTAGGCTACATGGCATGCCACTAAGCATGCTGTCAGACAGAGATAAGATATTTACCAGTCAGTTCTGGACAGAATTATTCTCACTAATGGGGACTGAACTATGCTTAAGTACAGTTTATCACCCTCAGACCGATGGTCAGTCTGAGAGGGTGAATCAGGTACTGGAAATGTACCTACGATGCATGACACACTAGGAGCCCAAGAGGTGGAATGCCTGGCTATCAATGGCAGAATGGTGGCGTATAACACCACTTATTACACTGCCATACAGATGAGCCCCTTTGAAGCACTATATGGAATGAAACCACCTCAACTAGCTTTGGGTGTATACTCACATTCTAAGGGTAGCCACAGTGGCAGAACACCTACAGGAAAGGGAGAGAATTGAAGGATTAATTAAGAAGAACCTAGAGGAGGCCAAAAACAGAATGAAGGTCTATGCTGATAGAAGGAGGACTGAAAGGGAATTTGAGGTTGGAAATTGGGTATATCTTAGGTTGCAACCCTACAGGCAAAATTCTGTGGAGATGAGAAGCAACACCAAACTATCAGCAAGGTACTTTTGGCCTTATCAAGTAATCCAAAAGATAGGAAAGGTAGCCTACAAACTTCAGCTCCCAGCTTCATCACGAATACACCCAGTTTTCATGTTTCACTGCTAAAGAGGAAGATAGGACAGAAGGTGGTTCCAGTACTACAATTACCAGACACAAATGAGAAGGGTCACTTCAGGATAGAGCCAATAGCTGTGCTAGATCGAAGGATTGTTAAGAAAAAGAATGCAGCAGCAGTCCAATGGTTGATTCAGTGGTAGGGAACCTCTCCTGCAGAAGCAAAGTGGGAAGATGCAGAAGAGATAGAACGCAAATTTCCAGAATTCCAATCTTGAGGTCAAGATTGAATTGCAGGGGAAGCTATTGTCATGAAGCCAAACTGAAGGCGTGAAGACAGAGTAAGGGAAGGCGCAAAATAGGTAGAAGGAGCAAAGGAAAGCGTGGTTTCAAGACCACGCCTTTAGATGGAAGATGATTCTGCAACAGACGCACATGAAGAAATAACAAACTTTCAAATCAGCTGCAACGGTCTCTCAGCCACTTGGTCACGCCAATTGGAAGCTACGAAGTTAGTTATCAGCTGATTATCTATAAATAGGATAGATGGAATGTATTAGGCAAGAAAATCTTTCGTGTAATAGCAACAGAGATTGGGCTGAGCCTTTTCTGTTCCTTTTCCCCAATTCCTGCAATCTTGTTCATCTTCTTAACTTTTCCCGCCCTTTCTGTATCTCTTAATCCTTACACCAATTGCAGCTATCTGAGTTAATTCCACATCTTAGCTTTTCAATTGATTGATTATTATCCAGTCGAATTGTTCATTTCTGTTATTGGATTCAAGGTTTCCACATAGCTCAGTCTGGTACCATTACAGAGATCACTTTGGAATGGATTTAGATTGATCCCATCCAATACTCAAATCTATTTCATGCATTCTTTTTTATTGAATTCTTCTTTTAGGCTTTGATTGAATTAAGAAATTTGATGAAGGATTTAAACTCCATCCAAGTTGCTTTAGTTGCATAGATTATTTAAGAGACATTTGAGTTTATAATTAATCAATTATTAAAATATATTGTAAACACTATAATAATTTACAATTTACAAAATTCAAATATCTCGTAAATAATCTAAATAATTAAAGGAATTTGAGAGAGTTTCAAATCATTCGTCAAATCTCTCAGTCCAAATGCAACGTTATTGTTTTTCATATATAACTTATAATACATATATATTTTTTTATTTTTGATTTCCAATGTTTCTAAATTTTAGTTGAGAAAAAAAATTCCTATGAAACTGTAAAAAGACTTGTACTTATGATTATTATAGATATTATCAGATTTCTTAATTTCTTAAATATTATGAGACAAAAATACTAGTACTTATGAAAATTGTAGCTGTGCATTCTTCTTCTATTAGGTCTCTAGAGGTGTATTTTTGGTTTGCAAATTGTTTAGATAGGAGTTTTTTTGGACAAGAATTAAATTTCTCATGAGATGTTTGGATCCCAATGAGAACTCAAGTATTTTTCCAAAAATTTTCATTAATTGATAGGTATAGATGGGATTAGTCCCATGTTAGGCCAAGTTTCAAAATCACTAAACCCGTCCCACTCAAAGTTCAGGTGGACATGGGTAGCCCATTGAGACTTAGGACAAGTTACCATCTCCACAACTGATATTTTATTAACATTAATAATTTATATAATACTTCAAGAACTAGTTCACTATGATGTTTGGATAGGAGATCATTTAGAAAAATTATTTGAATGACACTTTAACATTTTTTATGATATGATATATTTGAGATAAAAAGGTGGCCGATAATATAAGAAATTGATTGAAAAATATACTTATAATGCAAGCTAAATAATATTTGGAAATAAAATCCATATCCAAACAGACCATAATGTTCTATGTTATTTTTGTGATTCTCAGAGCCTTTGATCTCAACCAGCCAAAGAGCCGCCAAATTTTCAAAAATTAGTTAGTATCACACTAGCTTGCAATTACCTTTCCTTCCTCCCATGACTATTGATGAAGAAATTCTTGCAACGACATTACAGCTCCTTTCTTCTCCCCAAGTCCCCCAGACCTACCTCAATCCCACCTCCTACAACCTCCCAAATCATCCATCTCTGCAGGTCTGGTTATCTTTCTGATGCAATTCACCTCCTAAACTGCACACATTCAGACTTCTGCAAAGTCTCCTCACGACCCCCAATACTCTACGCAACTTTAATTCAAGCATGCACCAAGTTATCTTCCTTCGCACAGGGCCTTCAATTCCATGCCCATGTCATCAAATCAGGCCTGGAAACAGACCGTTTCGTAGGAAACAGTCTGCTGGCTCTGTACTTCAAACTGTGTCCGAATTTCCGGGACACCCGGAAGGTGTTTGATGGATTGTTTTACAAGGATGTTGTGTCTTGGAGTTCAATAATATCAGGGTATATTCGCATGGGAAAGCCCGGGTTTTCGATTGATTTGTATATGGAAATGGTGGGTTGTGGAGTTGAGCCAAACGGGTTTACGTTGTCTGCTGTTATTAAAGCGTGTGCAGAACTTGGAGAGTTGAGATTGGGGAAATGCTTTCATGGGGTTGTGATAAAGTGTGGGTTTCAGTTTAATCATGTCATTGCTAGTGCTTTGATTGATATGTATGGGAGAAATTATGAGTCAGGTGATTCGCGGAAATTGTTTGATGAGTTGATTGAACCGGATGCAATCTGTTGGACTTCGGTGATTTCTGCTTATACAAGGAATGACTTGTATGAGAAAGCTCTTGGATTTTTTTACAGGATGCATAGGAAGGGTGGGTTATTTCCCGATGGCTTTACGTTTGGGAGCCTTTTGACTGCTTTGGGAAATTTAGGATGGTTGAAGCATAGTAGACAAGTTCATGCTAAGGCAATTGCAGCTGGATTCTCTGGAAATGTGTTCATTGAGAGTAGTTTGGTGGATACGTATGCGAAGTGTGGATTGGTTAATGAATCTCAGCTTGTTTTTGATAGAATGATAGAGAAGAATGCAGTTTCATGGTGTGCATTGCTTGGAGGTTATTGCCAAAAGGGTGATTTTGAAAAGGTTGTCGAGCTTTTTAGGCACATGGAAGAGGTTGACCTTTATAGTTTTGGAACAGTTCTCCGTGCCTGTGCAGGTTTGGCTGCTGTCCGCCCAGGGAAGGAAGTCCATTGCCAGTATCTAAGAAGGGGTGGCTGGAGAGATGTTATTGTAGAATCAGCCTTGGTTGATTTGTATGCAAAATGTGGCTGTGTTGATTTTGCTTTCAGAATTTTTTCACAGATGCCAGTCAGGAATTTGATAACGTGGAACTCAATGATCTCTGGATTTGCTCAGAATGGAAGGGGAGGAGAAGCTATTAAAATGTTTAATGAGATGATTAAACTGGGGGTCAAGCCTGATCGTATTAGTTTTGTAAGTGTTCTTTTTGCTTGTAGTCATAGTGGGTTGTTAGATCAAGGTCGTCAATACTTTGTATCGATGAAAGATAATTACGGAATCAAAGCTGAAATTTCACACTATAGTTGCATGGTAGACCTTTTAGGTAGGGCAGGCAAGATAGAAGATGCTGAAGATTTGATAAATAGTTCAGAATTTAGAAATGATTCATCTTTGTGGGCAGCTCTTCTTGGTTCTTGTACTACAGGTACAGATCCTACTGTTGCAGAACGTATTGCTAAGAAAATGATGGAACTGAAACCTGATTATCATTTAAGTTATGTTCTTTTGGCCAACGTCTATAGAGAAATTGGCCGGTGGAACGATGCTCTTGAGCTCAGGAGGCAAATGCAGGATAAAAAGGTTAACAAGATGCCTGGGATGAGTTGGGTTGAAACTAACTCCGGCATCAGTTTTTTGTCTTATGAGAATCCTTTGGAAATGCCTGCAAGAGATCTTGTTGAAGAGGAAAGGGGTTCAATTTTGTCGGTGGAATCATAGAATTAGTCATGAAATATTATTTTATCTCTTTCAACCTTCATGAAGCCAAGATATAGTGATTCAAGATATATGGTGATATCAATCATCGCAGTCTTGACTTTCTTGTATTTGTATGACATTACGATCAAGGTGATAGTCTTGCTCCTCAAGGTGATTTAGAGCAACTGCCTGAATAGCTACTTTAAGCATCCTCCGCACCCAGATTGAGCAGCAAGGTGGGAATGTTCTCCCATGCTGTGAAGTTTGCCGAGATTGTTTACTCATAACTGAACAAATGTTAAGCTAATCTAATCTGATGCTGTTTTAACATAGCAACCTTTGTTAGAATTACACTAATGTAATATGGCAACCGGCTTCCTTTTTTTTTTTTTTTTTTGGCAATTTGTATTCTTAATACACGTGCTGATTCCGCTGCTACATATGATGATAATAAAATATACAAAGTTTATGCTGGCTCTTCCAGGTCTCAAATATGCAGAAATGCACCTCTTGTATGCATGTTGATGCAAATCTGCTTACCACGCTTGCCCTGATTTAACTAAGAATGCAAAAGCCAAGTCGCCAAATCATTCAAATATCTTTCTTCTTTTAGTTTTTCCGGTCTAATTATGGAAATTCGTTTTAGAATTGTGTAGATACTCTACATCAAAACTCGGCCTTCTTTCAATTCATGCTGTTGCTGGCACCGTATATAAAGATTACACAACCATTTCGGGGCCCTAAATAACTGGTTTTTGTTTTCCTATTGCCTCGTGCATACATATTTTCATTTCATTAAGATCTTCGTCACAATTCTTGATATTAGAAGTCCATTTTTTTATCCATTTCTCAAGGAGAAATACAACTACACAACATGGATTTTTCTTTCCGGTGCAATCAAGCCAAGTACCTGATTAGGAACTGAACTAATCTTCTGATTGAGAACCTTGGAAGTGTCATTTCGCCATCCCATTCTTGAATTATCAAGTCAGAACACATATATTTCAAATTACAAAGCCTGAAATATCGGTGAGCTGTGAGTGATCCACCAGCCGGTGAGAGAAAATCATAGTCTATGTCACGCAGCTTCGAAGAGCAACCTCAGAAATAGCAGTTTACTTGGCCATGATTTCCAAATGCTGCCAGCATGAAGCACAGTCCATCTCACAGTCTCTGTCTCCATCTTTGTTGCCTGCCAAGGTAAAGCATCAAAGACTGTTCAGACGAGACCTATATACAATGAGAAGCTGTAGGACAGTAGAAAGGAGTGCACAAGCACAACCAACCCGAATAATCCATAAGAATTAAAACTGTATCAA